GGACTGATTCCTCTGGCCCAGGTGTCAGGCCTGGGCAGGGGACCCCCAGACCCCTCCGATTGCTGGCTCTGCCCCTTGCCCAGGCCTGATGCCTCGGCCAGAGGCGTCAACCCCCATCACACTCTGATCACCTGAACGGCCCCTTGCCCAGACCTGACGCCTCTGCCAGAGGTGTCAGGCTTGGACAGGGGACCCCCATAGTGATGGGGGGAAATGAGGGTCCCCTACCCAGGCCTGACGCCTCTGGCAGAGGCATCAGGCCTGGGCAAGGGGCCGATCCTGCGATTGGAGATTGATGGGGGTCAATGCCTGAGGGCTCCCAGTATGTGAGAGGGGGCAGGCTGGGCTGAGGGACACTCCCCCTCACCCCACCCAGTGCACGAATTTCGTGCACTGGGCCCCTATTATATATATAAAAGCCTAAGCGACTGAACAATCCTGCGGGGAGAAGGCCTAAGCTGTTAGTTGGACATCCCCCAAGGGCTCCCAGGCTGCCAGAGGGATGTCTGACTGCCAGCTTAGAGCCGATCCCCTGGGGACACAGGCCTATACCAGCAGGTGGACATTCCGCATGGACACCCGGACTGTGAGAGGATGCAGGCCAGGCTCAGGGACCCTTCCCCCGAAATGCATGAATTTTCATGCACTGGGTTTCTAATCCTATATAATAAAAGGCTAATATGCAAATAGACCAAACAGCGGAACAACCGAACAACCCGTCACTATGATGTGTGGTGATCACCAGGGTGCAGGCGCAGAACATAGTGAGCATGGGCTGCAGAGCGTGGAACATGGTGGGCGTTGGCTGCGGTGGGATAGTGGAGCAGGTGAGTGGGGGCACCAGACCAAGGTGAGGTGCTGGTCGCTGTCATCGGGGCAAGCTTCTGGTGGTTACTGAAAATTCTTTGCTCCCGCTCACTGAGGTCCCGCATGTCACTCGCACCTGCTGCTGGCACTGGGTGCCAGCACTGATCACTCAGCGCTGTCAGCGGGTGCGAGCAGTGGCTGCCAGCCCTGATGGCCTCTCAGGGCTTCTCCACCTCCC